TCAACCTGTGGGTCGCGACCATCGGAAAACACATCTATAATGACATATTGTTTTTGTGATGAATCACTGTGCTTTAATGATGTTCAATTTGTAACAATGAAACCACACCCTGCATATCAGATATTTACGTGACGATTCATAACAGTAGCAACATTACAGTGATGAAGTAGCCACGGAAATAATGTTATGGTTGGGGGTCCCCACAACATGCGGAGCTGTATGAAAGGGTCGCGGCATCAGGAAGGTTGAGAACCGCTGCGACTAAAGAGGATGTGGGCCCTAGCTGGTTTAGCTCAGTGGATAGAGCATCGGCCCTCAAACTGAAGGGCCCCGGGTTCGATTCCAGCCAAGGGCACATGCCCGGGTTTCAGACTCCATCCCCAGTGTGGGGCATGCAGGAGGCAGCCGATCCATGCTTCTCTCTCACCATTGATGTTTCTCTCTCTCTCTCCCTCTCTCCCTCTCCCTTCCTCCCTGAAATCAATAAAAGTGTATTTAAATAAATAAAATAAAATTCTCCTTGCTTCACCCGAATTAAACTTCTCTCCATGCGAATGGTGCCATTGGCAACTTAATGATAAAAATCCCAGTGCCTTCTGCTCCTCTCCCTGCCCTTAGGGATGTGGGTTTCCAGCGGTTCAGGCCCAGGCGGAGCCTCCGCACCCTCGTGTGCCTTTGCTGCCCCCTACCTTCCTTCTGGCGCGCTGCACCCTCCTCGCTCATTCTTTTCCTTCCTTCGTCATGTTCTATGTTCCCCAAAGAAACCCCGATCGATAACAGTATAAGCCTGTTTGAATCTTAAAATGGATGGAAACAGTGTGACGCAAAGGAGGGAAACGCTAATGGTGTAAAGCAGATAGGAAAAGTCTCCAATCGTGTGAAATAGACTAACCGCAATGTATTCTGTAAAATGGAAAACATCAGCTATTGATTTCCTGTTTGTCTGTGGAACTGTGTTTGGGGGGTTAGGCAGGTCAAGACTGATTTGATGAAGCAGGCACCTTTGTGAAAACCATTTCTAAATTTTCTATTTAAAATGATTTTAAAATCACATAAGACATACATAAATAAGTATTCATATGTAAAATTAGAGCATTTAGAATCAAAGCTAAAGTCTCTTTAAGCATGACTCCCTCCCAGAGATGGCCATTATCAGACCTGGTTATGAGTTTAGCATGTATCCATTCTTTTATTTTTTTTGTAAAACATATTTTTATTGATTTCAAAGAGGAAGGGAGGGGGAGAGAGAGATAGAGACATCAATGATGAGAGAGAATCATGGATCGGCTGCCTCCTGCACGCCCCCTACTGGGGATCAAGCCTGCAACCCCAGCATGTGCCCTGACTGGGAATACAACCATGACCTCCTGGTTCATAGGTCGATGCTCAACCACTGAGCCACGCCGGCCGGGCTATTGGTTAATTCTTGTATGTGCCCTGACCAGGGATCAAACCTGAAACCTTGGTATATCAGGACGATGCTCCAACCAACTGAGCCACCCAGCCAGGACTCAATGGGCAAATAGTTCAAAGTAAGCTGGGCAAGTGAGGTTTCATCTCCGTCACTAGACGGTTCCTGACTGCCTAAGCGAGAAGTGGAGGAACCTTCTAGAATGACTTGTGCTTAAATCTATGTGACCGAATGTTGTGCCCCATCAAACAGAACAGGACTCAAAGCATCAGAAATGGTAATGCTTTAGCCCTGACCGGTTTGGCTCAGTGGATAGAGCGTCGGCCTGCGGACTCCAGGGTCCCGGGTTTGATTCCAGTCAAGGGCATGTACCTTGGTTGCGGGCACAACCCCAGTGGGGAGTGTGCAGGATCGATGTTTCTCTCTCATCGATGTTTCTAACTCTCTATCCCTCTCCCTTCCTCTCTGTAAGAAATCAATAAAATATAAGAAGAAAAAAAGAAAAGAAATGGTAATGCTTTACTTATTTAAGTTTGTTAACCTTTTTGGAATATGTCACTGTTATACATTCGTGGGAAACCATGAATACTTAACAAGGCAACAAAAGAACATTTTGCATTCTGAAATATGCGTCTCCCTCCCATTTAGACAAGGATGCACACTGAACTCTGTGATAAATTACAGTGTGTTTAAAGATTACATGGTCTCTCCGCCCGCGTCCCCTCCTTGCTCTGTTCTCTCCTCCACTCAGCTGCCAGACTAATCCTCCAGAAACACCAATTTTCATGCACCACTTCTCCAAACCTCGCTTCCTGGCTCCCTGGTGCCTGAAAAACCATTTCCAATGCTTTTGTCTGCAAATGCGTATAGACTCCGCGTTTTGGTTACTTGCTAAAGTAGCACAAACTCGCGGTGACAGGTGCATGAGTGAAATCCAGCGTCTCATTCCATGGTTACCAAGTCTGCAAGCCCTGTTTTTGGGAAGAGAACAACTGGAAGTCGGAGAACCGTGTGGCCATGGCCGCATGAAATTTAACACGCGATTCCGAGATTCATGCATATTGAGGTGCTATTGAGAAATGTTGAAAATATCCATTGTAAAGAGTGTTTTAAAACACTCCGAGCAGCAATAAGAGGAAAAGCAAGAAGGTATAGCCAATAGATTGTGTCAGAACCCTTTGGGAACTCCAGTGCCTAAAAATTGTTTTAAGCCCTGGCTGGTTTGGCTCAGTGGATGGAGTGTCGGCCTGCAGACTGAAAGGTCCCAGGTTCAATTCTGGACAAGGGCATGTACCTCGGCTGTGGGCACATCCCCAGTAGGGGGTGTGCAGGAGGCAGCTGATAGATGTTTCTCTCTCATCGATGTTTCTAACTCTCTATCTCTCTCCCTTCCTCTCTGTAAAAAATCAATAAAATATATATTTTAAAAATTGTTTTTAAATTGCTTTTTTTCAGTTGTCACAATAATAGCTTCCATTTGCATTATACTTTATAGTTTACACAGTCTGTGGGAAAAATAAAGGTAATTATGGGTATGGTTGCAATTCATAAGAAAGGCAGAATGGCCGAAACCGGTTTGGCTCAGTGGATAGAGCGTCGGCCTGCGGACTCAAGGGTCCCAGGTTCGATTCCGGTCAAGGGCATGTACCTAGGTTGTGGGCATATCCCCAGTAGGGAGTGTGCAGGAGGCAGCTGATGGATGTTTCTCTCTCATCGATGTTTCTAACTCTCTATCTCTCTCCCTTCCTCTCTGTAAAAAATCAATAAAATATATTAAAAAAAAAGAAAGGCAGAATGAAAGGGAATGAAAATCAATGTATATATCCAGTCTTTCTTTTAACAAATTAATGCCCGGCCAGCATGGCTCAGTGGTTGAACATCAACCTATGAACCAGGAGGTGATGGTCTGATTCCCAGTCAGGGCATATACCTGGGTTGTGGGCTCCATCCCCAGTGTGGAGCATGCAGGAGGCAGCCGAGCAATGATTCTCTCATAATTGATGCTTCTCTCTCTCTCTCCCTCTCCCTCTCTGAAATCAATATATATATATATATATATATATATATATATATACACACACACACACACAGTAAAGAATGGGAGCGATAAGAGGATGGAATACATAGTTTAGAGCTTTGTAAAGCAAACCAGCTCTAGAGCAATGCTCCGTTTCCTTAGGTTGTGCTGCTAATCAGAGAGCCCAGCCTGATCGGTGGTTTCTGATAATCACCCTCGGTAACACTTCCACAATCAAGAGACCTACAGAATGAACCACACGCCCGACCTCAGCATTGATTCTAAGAGAAAATACCCAGAAAAAAATTTCCCTTCTCACCAGGGGGCAGGCAGAGAGGAAGTGGACCCTCCCACCCACGAATTTCCCCGGGGAAAGCGTTCATCTGGAAGGTATTGCTCTCCTTAGACACAGGGCAGGACCTGCTCCAGGCGCCTCATGTCTTCATAGCACATTTCAGAGAATAAAGCCCATCCTGAGAGCGCCATGGGCTTCAGGACCACCCAGCAAGTGGCCAGAGGCACGCAGCCAGGCCCTGGGCGCCAACACGGTAGGTAGACCTTCGGTGCTTTCCTGCAATGCTCAGAGCTGAGGCTTCAGCTAGCGGTGGCTTCTTTCCAATAACTTGTGAATATTGTGCCCTAAAAGCCATTACATGACCTCTTTCAAACCAATTCCTATCTTTCTGTTCTTTTTTCTCTCATCAGTTTATTTTGTTCATTAATTCCACACGTGAATGTGACCATGTGATACTTGTCTTTCTCTGACTGAATTATGTCACTTAGCAGGATCCTCTCCAGGTCCCTCCATGCTGTCTCAGAGGGTAAGAGATTCTTCTTTTTTTACGGCTGCCTAGAATTCCATGGTGTAAATGTCCTACAGCTTTTCTATCCACTCCTCTCCTGATGGGCACTCGGGCTGTTTCCAGATCTTAGCTGCTGTAATTGTGCTGCTGTGAACATACATTCATTCTATTCTTATGTGCTGAAAGCAGACATAGATTATTTTAAAACCCTTAAGAGATTCCTTTTAAATGTAAGTTGCCCATCGTCTTTGTATAATAGATTGGTGGTTGAGGATAGGTTTAAAGTATAACCATCTTTTCTTAAAAATATAGTTTTAGTGATTTCAGAGAGGAAGGGAGAGGGGGAGAGAGATAGAAACATCAGTGGTGAGAGAGAATAATGGATTGGCTGCCTCCTGCACGCCCCCTACGAGGGATCCAGCCGAAACCGGGCGTGTGCCCTCATCCGGGATTAGAACCGTGACCTCCAGGTTCATTTACGCTCAACCACTGAGCCAGGCCGAGCGGGGCCAGTGAGGGTTTTAAGGGTGATGGCTCCGCTGCTCCGGACCTGGGCGCACCTGGGCGCGCGCGGGCAGGAGGGATGGCGGGGCTGGGGCGCACGGGCACCCCAGACCGTTGCCGCGCCCCGCCGGCCCGGTGCTGCAGGAGGGACCCAGGACCCGGGGCTCAGGGGCTCCCCTAGTTGCCGGAGCAGGAAGTGAGCGCGAGGAGGAGCCGGGAGGAGGAGAGAAGGAGGAGGAGAGGGCGAGGAGGAGGAGGAGCGGGAGCCGGGCTGGAGGAGGGGCGCAGGCCGGCGTGTGCTCCGCGCGTCCCCACCGCAGGCTCCCCGTCCCCGCCGTGCGCTCCCTCCGGTCCGGAGGCTGCGGGCCCCGCTCGGGAGCCGTCTCCCCACGCGCCCGCCCCATGGCTTCGCCGGAGGACCCTCTGCGCGCAGGTAAAGCGGTGCCGCGCCGCGCGCTCACCTGGGGGGTGGGGGCCCGAGTGTCGCGGGACCCCCCGAGGGGCGCCCGGTCCGGGTCCTCGGGGGGCCGACCGGGGACCTGGGCACGAGGTCCTCCGCCCCCCTCCCCTGCCCCCATCTCTCACGCGTGCCCCGGACGCGCCTTCCGCCCCCTCCGCCCCCCACCTCCCCAGCGCTTTTGTTTGCGCTCCTGCGCCAGGTTGGGACAAGTCCTCCCACCTCTGGTGGAGAAGAAGGTGGATTCCCCTGCGCCTCGGCCTCTCCCTTCCTCCCTCGCTCAGGCCTCCTCGCTTCTCCCCTTCTCACTTCACTTGTGCTGAATGGGTTTGTTCTAAATATGGGCCCTCGAGCTATTGCACATACACCAGCATCTCCAAACCCAGAGCCTGATCCCCCTGGGGGGACCCCACCTCGGGGGGTGGGGGCGGTCTCTGATTAGGTGGGCCTCTAGTCCTGTCCTTGCTTTAAAATACTGTGTTTAGCCCTGGCCGGTTTGGCTCAGTGGATAGAGCGTTGGCTTGCGGACTGAAGGGTCCCGGGTTCGATTCTGGTCAAGGGTATGTGCAGGAGGCAACCAATTGATGTGACGTCTCTCACTTTCCTCCCTCTCTCTTCCACTCTCTCTAAAACTCAATGGGGGAAAAATATATCCTGTGGTGAGGATTAAAAAGTGTGTGCCTACTAGTAAGGCCAGAATCTGGATGGTTCTCCAATCTCACTTCGATTTTAAACTCACCTCTCAGGAGTTCTCTGCCCTCACACTCACCTTAGGTGGGCCCAGTCTGCAGGGAATGTTTGTTAAACACACGAATGAATGAATGAATGAATGAATGAATGAATGAATGAGGCGTGAAGGCTGTTCTAGTTTTGTGGAGGTTGAAGAGGCTGGGGGGGAGATCAGATACCCCGGTACAGAACTGCCTGTAACTGGGCGGGTAGGCATTTTCTATTCTGTTCCTTGGGCTTAGGCAGGGCAGAGCTTGAATGTTCCATCCATCATTTGGGGTGTGGGCCTGGCTGGCCTGGCGCAGTGGTTGAGTGTTGACCTATGAACCAGGAGGTCACGGTTCGATGCCCTTGCCTGGGTTGTGGGCCCGATCCCCGGTAGGGGGTGTGCAGGAGGCAGCCGATCCGTGATTCTCTCTCATCACTGATGTTTTTTATCTCTCTCCCCCTCTCTCTGAAATCAGTAACAAGAATATATTTTAAAAAGTTGGGGGCTGGAGCAGTTAGGAGGAGAGTTTCTGGAGCTGGGTGAGGTGACATGGGCCTGCTGATTTGCTGGGTTTGGGGCATTTCCTGGACATTCTGAAGAAAGATCTAAACTCTTCTTCAGGTAGCCATTTTATCGATGAGAGGTGGAAAAGAAACCCACTGTCTGGACAGCCATTGTGTGGGAAAACAGAAGGGACCTAAAGTGGGAAACCCACCCACTCCGCATCCCCACCCCTACCTCCACCCCACCCCCACCTCCCCTCTGAGAAACTCATTGACAAGGTGCAGGAGAGCTAAGGCCAGACTTGACTAACACTGGTCTCGGGACTTTTTAAAAAAATAATGTATTTTTATTGATTTCAGAGAGGAAGGGAGAGGGAGAGGGAGATAGAAACATCTATGATGAGAGAGAATCATGGATCAGCTGCCTCCTGCATGCCCCCGACTGGGGATGGAGCCTGAAACCTGGGCATGTGCCCTGGACTGGGAATTGAACTGTGACCTTCTGTTTCATTGGTCGACCTTCAACCACAGAGCCACACCGGCCAGTGGGACTTTTTTAATTCTGAGGGGAATTTTTTAACCTTCTTTCATTTTTAAGATCTTGATAGGGACCCACTGAATGGGAATAAATGTAAACTCTGCGGGGTGCCTCTCCCTCCGGGTCAGCGGGTCAGCGGCACCACACAATGTATACACATTTAGCCTCAGTGCGTCAGCGATGGGATGCGGCCGCCGCAGAGAAATCTCGATTCTGTGATGGTCTCTGAGTCGCCTGGGCCAGCCAGAGGGGGTTGGGGGCTCCCAGCTTGGAGCAAAGGGGCTTGGAAATCCCAGCGCAGGTAGGTGGTGGCTGACGGAGGGCCTGACCACAGATAGCCGGGTGTCTGTGGAAGGAATGTCTCCTTGACCTTTGGAAGCAGCACCTGGGGGTGAAGCCTTTGCCTCCTAAGGTAGCGCTGCCCTTGTCACTTGCTGTTTGGGCATCTGAAAGGTGTCCTCATGCGCATGCCCACTCTGGGATGTATCCACACGAGGAGGGTTCCTCCGCTTAAAAAAGACTGAAAAATGACTTCCCCCTGGCATCTCATCTACCGTAGCTTCTGTGAGCTCCTGGGCACACCCACCCACCCACCCACCTCTTCCACTTTTGTGAAGATGCCACGCGTGGTGCTGTCCCTGGAACTTGGTAAATGGCCTCGCCCCTTCCCCACCCCTCCCTGGGTTTCCGTCCTCTCTCACCTCATTTCCCAACTCATCTCCCAGATGGTGTTTCACACCCCCGTGTGCCTTCCACCAACCCATTCACCAAACAGTGGCCAGAGTGACCTTTTCTTTAAAACAATTTTTTTAAATTGATTTCAGAAAGGAAGGGAAAGGGAAAGAGAGAGAGAGAGAAACATCAATGATGAGAGAATCATTGATCGGCTGCCTCCTGCACGCCCCCTACTGGGGATCGATAGCAAAACCCAGGCATGTGCCTTGACCGGGAATCCAACCGTGACCTCCTGGTTCCTAGGTCAGCGCTCAACCCCTGAGCCACGCCGGCCGGGCATGCCCTGTCATTCTTCATAGAAAGCATGAAAGGCCCCGCCCTTTGGACTCGAGATGCTGGGAATTTGGGAAACGAACTCGCTTCCGTCTTTGTTTTCTCTGAAAGGACACCATTCGAGTAGATCCTTCAACGTCCTTGAAGACACTGGCTAGCAACTGTTGACCTTGATCTAATGTGACTAACGGAGGCCGATGTCCGAACGGGACAGGGTGGCGTCTGCTGGGTAGCTCGCCGGCATCTGTGATGGGCGATGCGTGGTCATTCCTCGTGGAGAGGCAGCTGGGTGCCCTGCCCAGGCTCCTGGGGATCCTGCGAACACAGATGATGAGATTTGGGTCTTAGAGAGGATGATGATGAGAGTGTGGATTTAGGGTTGATGCTGGCCCAGCCTGCGTGGCTTGGTGGCTGAGTGTCGACCTATGAACCAGGAGGTCACAGTTGGATTCCCGGTCAAGGGCACATGCCCGAGTTGCAGGCTCCAACCCCAGTGTGGGGCGTGCAGGAGGCAGCCGATCCAGGATTCTCTCTCATCGTGGATGTTTCTATCTCTCTCCCTCTCCCTTCCTCTCTGAAATCAATGAAGGTATAATTTAAAAAGTAAATTAATTTTAAAAATAAAATTAATAAAAGAACATATCCTTGGGTGAGGATTAAAAAATAGATAAAAAGATTCTGTGAGGTATTTTTGTTAACCTTCACCTGAGGATATTTTTCCGTTGATTTTTAGAGGGAGGGGAAGGGAGGGGGAGAGACACAGAGAGAGAAACATCGATGTGAGAGAGACACATCGGTACCCCAACCGGGCCGGGGATCCAGCCTGCACCCGAGGTACGTGCCCTTGACCGGAATTGAACTTGGGGCCCTTCAGTCCTCGGGCCAGCGCTCCGTCCACTGAGCCAAACGGCTATGGCCCGGTGAGGATGTATGACTTTAGTAATTCACACGAACCACATTCAGATGCTTAATATTTTAAAATATATATTTTATTGATTTTTTTTTACAGAGAGGAAGGGAGAGGGATAGTTAGAAACATCGATGGGAGAGAAACATCAATCAGCTGCCTCCTGCACACACCCCAACTGGGGATGTGCCCGCAACCAAGGTACATGCCCTTGACCGGAATCGAACCTGGGACCCTTCAGTCCGCAGGCCGACGCTCCATCCACTGAGCCACACCGGTCAAGGCAAGATGCTTAATATTTTAAAGTGATAAAAACGGATCGCAGAGGAGCAGGAAACGGGAGGAAGCAGGAGCCGAACTCAATAACTCCTGCTGCAGGTTCTAGTCGGATCCAGCAGGAGAGCCGTGGTTTGTGGTTATTCGTGACTCTGAGTATTTGTAGATACGTATCAATAACTCGTTCCAAAATATTTAAAAAGATGAATAAAGTCTGTCTTCATCTCCTTCTGGTGCAGCCTGAAGCCATCCCTTCTTATTTGTCTCCGCTGACGACTGGAAGTTTAAGTTTTTCTCGGCGCGAAGACAGTTATCGGAGGACACGTGTGCGTTTCCACTGACGAGCGTTCTCCCTGCTTGTGTTTTCCTGCAGGTCACATGGCCGAGGAGCCCGTGGAAGACACGGACCCCAGCACTCTGTCCTTCCACGTGGTAGGTCACCCGTTTCCCACGGCGGAGCTGATTCTCGCCTCCCCTTTCCCCATCGCTACGTCTTTTTTTAGAAAAGGTGGAAATTTATTGAAGAACAAGTACAGATTCCCACGCGGGGAGGGGGAAAAAATTTCACCGCATAGACTCCCATGTGGGGAGGGTGAGAGAGTCCCCTCTTTACATTTTTTTTAAAAAAATATATTTTTTATTGATTTCAGAGAGGAAGAGAGAGGGAGGGGGAGAGAGAGAAACATCATCGATGAGAGAGAATCATGGATCGGCCGCCTCCTGCCCGCCCCCTACTGGGGATCGAGCCCACAACCCGGGCATGTGCCCTTGACCAGAATCGAACCTGGGACCCTTCGGTCCCCAGCCCGATGCTCTACCCACTGAGCAAATTGACCTGGGCGTCCCCTCTTTACTTTTCTGATTACTCGGCATTGACATGAAGATTAGAAACCCCAAGATGAGGTTTTCCCGTAATAGCTTCTTTTTTTAAAAAATTACTTTATGAGGTGACTTACTTTATTTTATTTTTTTTAAATATATTTTTATTGACTTCAGAGAGGAAGGGAGAGGGAGAGAAACATCACTGATGAGAGAGAATCATGGATCGGCTGCCTCCTGCACGCCCCCTACTGGGGATCGAGCCCACAACCCGGGCATGTGCCCTGACCGGGAATGGAACTGGGACCCTTCTGTCCGCAGGCCGACGCTCTCCACTGAGCCACACCGGCCCAGGCTAAAGGCTCCTCTTTTTAAATTGCAGGAAATACGGAGGGAGAATGGCACTACAGACAGGAGAGGGAGTGTGTGTCGTGGTCAGAGCTGAGGGAACTAGGAAGGCTGATTCTGTCTCAACGCTAGCTTCTCGTCAACCTTGCTTTGGTTTCTCTAAGTCAAGAATACAGCCCGGCCGGCGGGGCTCAATGTCTGAGCGTCGACCTGTTAACCAGGAGGACACGATTCGATTCCCAGTCAGGGCACATGCCGGGTTGCGAGCTCCATCCCCAGTGTGGGGCGTGCAGGAAGCAGCCAATCCATGATTCTCTCATCATTGATGATTCTTTCTCTCTCTCCCTCTCTGAAATCAATAATATATATATACACATACATATATACATATATCTATCTATATCTATCTATCTATCTATCTATCTATCTATCTATCTATCTATCTATTACAACCAGGCTATGGGTCAGCCCTAATGAGGAGCCCAAGGCTAAACACATGCAAGGTTTTAAATTAAAGTCCTGACTTTCGCAAGACAAAGCTTTCTTTTCACTGTGATTGTGTATAGAAGTGACTGTGATGTTTAAAAATAACTCTCTTGTGTTGGTTTCTGCAGTCAGACAAATATCCTATTCAAGATACGGGACTCCCTAAAGGTAGGTACAGTTACTGCCGCTACTTGAACTTGTGATTGTTGACTATCTTGACTGAAGCGCTCGTCCAAGCAATTTTTCATTATTTAAAATTGTGAAACAGAAACATACCAGTCATTGAGTTCATGGCTTCTTTGATGATTATTTCAGGCATGAATTTTCTTTGTTGTTGTTTTTTTAAAACACGTTTTTAAAGATTTTAGCGAGAGAGGAAGAGAGAGAGAGAGAAACATCAATGATGAGAGAGAATCATGGATCGGCTGCCTCCTGCACGCCCCCCACTGGGGATCGAGCCCCCAACCCGGGCATGTGCCCTTGACCAGGAATCAAACTGTGACCTCTTGGTTCATGGGTCAATGCTCAACCCTGGCCCCCTCTGTGGTCTGCACCCCCAAGCATCTATCTGCCTATGGGCGAGAAGCGACAGCTGCTTCTACTCAGGGGCCTGACGAGCACCCCTCTGGTAACCGAACCTGCTTTCCTGTGGTTTGGGTGTAAGTCACCGTATACCCTCCCCACCAACCCACCCACCCACGCTCCAGGCTCAGCCGGGGCCGAAGCCGTCCAGCCTCCTGCTGACCACAACTGATTCCGCAAAGGGACTTGGCCAACGCTCCTCCCCGCCTCTCGGGGTGGCTGGGCTCAGGCCTGAATTTTCTTTTTTCTTTTTCTTTTTTTTAAAATATATGTTATTGATTTTTTACAGAGAGGAAGGGAGAGGGATAGAGAGTTAGAAACATCGATGAGAGAGAAACATCGATTCAGCTGCCTCCTGCACACTCCCTACTGGGTATGTGCCCGCAACCCAGGTACATGCCCTTGACCGGAATCGAACCCAGGACCCTTCAGTCCGCAGGCCGACGCTCCATCCATTGAGCCAAACCGGTTAGGGCAGGCCTGAATTTTCTTATTAAAATCTATACACTCTAACATTATAGGTCAAGTTCCTACGGTGTTTTTAACATGCACAAAATGAAGAGGCCGGGACTCTGGGTTGCAAGTGACAGACATCTCACGCGAGTTCATTAAAAAAGTGGGGAGAGCCTGATTGGCTTAAGGCCTTGGGGTGCCACTAGCTCCCAGCATTGGCCTGAGGCTCTGGCTGCCTCTCTCTCTCCCTTCTTCATCTCTGTCTTCTGTTCCTGGCAGGCTTTCCCCATGTGGTGGGAGAGATGGTCCCTGACACCCCCCTAGTTTCCCCCTGGTGCTGCTGACGGGGGTGGAGAGAGAGGGGCCTCCCCCCAGCACCCACAGCCCATTCCAGGGACATTTGACAAGGGCAGTGTGGCCGTGTGGCTTCGTGGAATCAGTTGTGGTCAGCAGGCGGCTGGAGGGCTCCGGTCCGGCTGCGCCTGGAGGGAGGGAGGGAGGGCGGGTGGGGAGGGTATACAATGATTTCCACCCAAACCACAGGAAAGCCGGTTTGGTTACCAACGGAGGGTGCTTGTCAGGCCCCCAAACAAAACAGCTCTCTCCTCGCCTGTGGGCAGATGTTTGGGGGGTGCAGACCACAGAGGTGGCCAGGCCGCTGCTTGTCCCAGTCTCCCCTGTGGGGCGGCCTGCAGCGCTGCACCCTTCCCCGAGGCCGAGCTGCCAGTGGTCACACACGGGAGCGTGCATCTGGGCTCGGCTGACACCCCAGAGAGGCCGGGGGCGGGGGGGGGGGCACAGTCAGATCTGACCAACTTCAGGGCCACCCTCCTGCCCCCGCTTCCTGGGGAAGGGAGGGCTTCCCGGCACACGTGGTGGGGTTCCCAGCAGTGCCTGCAGCCGCAGCCAGGGTCACGGATGGTGGGCAGGAGCTCCTGCCGGGCCCCCTGTGGCTCTGTCACATCTCCCCCCAACCCCCCTTCCAGTCCCAGCTCACCAGACTCTTCCCTCTGCCCCTGAAATCGCACGTTGTATTCCGTGTGCCTGCTGTGAGCGTCCCGGGAATGGCAGGGGTGGAGGGAGGACCAGGTGTGAGCCCAGCCCTGGCTCTGAGGGAGGCTCTGGTGGGCACACCCCCTCCCCTTCCAGGGGTGACTGAGTGTTTGAACCCCCTGGTGTGGGGTTCTCTGGCTCACGGGCAGGGGCCAGCCTGGCAGCCAGGCACAGACAGGGCACAGTCCTGGGTGGCACCAAGACTGGGAATAATCAGATCCGAAGACTTTAGGGTGTGATGAAGAGTCCTCGGGGGAATTTATTTTTCATTTTATTTTATGTTATTTTATTTATATATTTTTATTGATTTCCGAGAGGAAGGGAGAGGGAAAGAGACATAGAAACATCAGTGAGAGAGAACCATGGATCGGCTGCCTCCTGCAGGTCCCCCACTGGGGGATGGAGCCCCCAACCCGGGCATGTGCCCTGACGGGGAATCAAACCGTGACCTCCTAGTTCCTAGGTTGATGCTCAACCACTGAGCCACGCCGGCCGGGCCATTTTATTCTTTATTTTTTACTGTTTATAGTATTATAGATATCTCCCATTTTCCCTCCATCCTCCCCTCCTCCCAGCCACTACCCACCCCCCAGGTCTTCACCAATTGCCCGTGTCCATGGGCTGTGTGTATAAGCAGATAAGTTCTTTGGTTTCTCTCTCCTCATCCCCCCACTCCCACATGGAGGCATGTCAGTCTGTTCCATGTCTTCCTGCTTGGGGTCTTATTTTGTTGGTCAATTCATTTTGTTCATCAGATGCCACAAATAAGTGAGATCAGGTGATATTTGTCTTTCTTGCTTTGGCTTCTGTCACTTAGCAGACTATTTCCCGGGTCCCTTCATGCTGTCCCAACGGGTAAGAAATCCCTCTTTTTTTTACAGCTGCGTAGCATTCCGTGGTGTAAATGTCCCACAGCCTTTTTATCCACTCCCCTGCTGATGGGCACTGTTTCCAAGTCTTAGCTATTGATAAATAACCAGGGAGTTTATTTAAAATTCAGATCGGGCCCCGCTACCCAGAAATCATGACAGGCGGGCGGGTCTGGGTTCAGGCCAGGGAGCCTGTATGCTCACAGTTACCTAAGGGGCCGGGCCCAGACCTCACTTTGAGAGCCAGACTGAGAAGCTGTAGGACTTGGTGTGCCCACCGGCCAGGCCTGTCGGAGGGAGAGCGGAACGCAGCCACGCCAGCCTGAGTGGACTCAGCGGTGACTTCGGGCCTTGGGGCCTCAGTTTCCCTGGAGGGCAGGGAGGACATGTTAGCATCCACCTCCTAGGATGCGTGTGTGTGTGAGAGAAGTTCATGGATCGAGTCTGGATGGTGCCTGGCACACGCAAGCATCAGACGGACGGATGGAGGGAATCTGGCAAAAGAATTGTGCAGCCCGGCTGGTGTGGCTCAGTGGTTGAGCATCGACCTGTGAACCAGGAGGTCAGGGTTCGATTCCTGGACAGGGCACATGCCCGGGTTGCGGACTTGATCCCAGTAGGGGGCGTGCAGGAGGCTGATCCATGATATTCTCTCATCATTGATGTTTCTATCTCTCCCTCTCCCTTCCTCTCTGAAATTAATATATTTTTTTAAAAAAGAATTGTGCAAATCAGTGTCGGGGACTGTCGAGAGCTCTCACAGCCCAGCGGCAGAGTGGGGCTGTTTTAGAGAAAGAATGAGCCGCAGCGGCTCTGGGAACGCACCATCAGGGTCCCCCTCATCTTTCTGTAGATCTTTGATCGGCCGTGAAGAGATTTCCTGTTTTGAAAGAACAAGATTGTTGCTTGGCAACCTGATATTGCAGTGATTGTACTATTGGGTTTCTCCTAGAATTTGAGTTTTGCAAAACCTTAATTAAAATGGTGATGAGTTGACAAATGAGGCGGCTGTGAAAACCGTACACTCGGTCTTCCTTCTGCCCTCATGCGTGGGGAATAGTAATATTAGCCACATCGTTTCTTATCTCCAAAGACATACATCATCTCATACGTAATGAACCAGGTCCAGAAGTTTAAACACTTACTCCAACATTTGCATCCAATAAATAGAACAATTTAATGTCTGCTGGGTTTTTTAAAAATATGTTTTTTTTATTGATTTCAGAGAGGAGTGGGAGGGAGAGAGAGAAACATCAATGATGTGAATCATGGATCGGCTGCCTCCTGCACGCCCCACACTGGGGATCGAGCCCGCAAACCAGGCCTGTGCCCTGACCGGGAATCAAACCGTGACCATCTGGTTCACAGGTCGACGCTCAACCACTGAGCCACACTGGCTGGGCTGACTCCACATTTTCAGAGAAAAATGTCTTTGAGTCTCAGGTCTTTCCCCCCACTGTGCTTTCTACTACTAAACTGTGTCTTTTTTTTCCTAGTTGAAGAGTGTGATCCAGTCCCTTCGAACGGCCCAACAAATTCTGATGTGCACCATCAGGTAAGGAGAATTCCAGTTATATTTTTTACTCTCTGGTATGGATAACTAGAATTTTTAAGGAATTCCCTTCTAGCGCTTGAAAAATAAAGAAGCACGCCTGCCTTCCTGGTTCATAGGTCGATGCTCAATCACTGAGTCACGGTAGCTGGGCTGTGCATTTATCTTAGAGACAAGAAAAGGAAGAGAGAAAGAGAGAGAGAGAGAAACATTGACGTGAAAGAGAAACATCGATCGATTGCCTCCTGTATACGCCCCGACCAGGGATCGAACCCGAAACCTAGGCATGTGCCCTGACTGGGAATCAACCCGCCACCTTTTCCATGTCCACGCGCCGACTGTTATGCCCAGATTTCAAGATCCCCCAAGACAGACCACCAGGGAGCCGAGTCCGATGCAAAGGCATAGAGTCTTTTATTCAAGCCCGGGCTTGGTCTCCCTCTGCCTCCATTACTGGATGCGAGAGAGAGCCCCGAGTCCCAAGAGAACAAAGAATTTATAGAGCTTGGGGAGGGGAGGTGGAGGCACTTGGTTGATTCCGGTTGGTTGAGTGAGGGCCGGGGGCTAGTTTCCCTTGCTTTCCTATTGGCCGAGATAAGGGCAGGCTGAGTAACTGATACATTCTGTGGCTTTCCTGGGAGAGGAGTTAGGGACACAGCTATCAGTTCCGTTCTGTCCTTTCACTATCAGTTCCGTTCTGTCCTTTTGTTAGGGACACAGCTATCAGTTCCGTTCTGTCCCTTCACCGACCACATGTGAAGTTCCGTGTAGTGTGCCTAATAGAACATCAGTCTGCAGTAAGTCACTCATGGAGCTGTTCTTGGCTAGCCAAGCCGCCTTCGTGACAGAGCACGCGGTTCGAGCCATCACCCAGCCCTCTTGAAAGTTGTTGGTGACGCTGCTTTCGCTCTGATCTGTGGGTCTTCCGTCACCCACTGGGAGTCTCCCATTATGTGTCCATTTGCCGCTCAGCATTTCCCCGGGAGTGACGGTCCCCTGGTTGACGCTGACCCTGACCGGCTGTGAATTATTTTAGGGAACCTACTGTATCCATTCTCCCTTTCTTACAACTCTTCCTTTGTTGAGCAACGTTCCTTTGTGACACGGGTTAGATTCCCTTCAAGATACGAGAATGGCCCTAACCGGTTTGGCTCAGTGGATAGAGCGTCGGCCTGCGGACTGAAGGGTCCCGGGTTCGATTCCGGTCAAGGGCATGTACCTTGGTTGCGGGCACATTCCCAGTGGGAGTTGTGCAGGAGGCAGCTGATCGATGTTTCTCTCTCATCTGATGTTTCTGACTCTCTATTCCTCTACCTTCCTCTCTGTAAAAAAATCAATAAAATATATTGAAAAAAAAAACATTCCAAAGATACAAGAATGCCACAGTGTTTACTTACCTTCGAGGGATTTCCCCAAAACCATGTAAGATTAGGCACAGAATAGACCTTAGCACATTGTTCAGTGTTTGTTTGTTTTTCCCCCTCTAGTATTTGTGTTATAATTCTCTCTGTGTGCAGTCAAGGCATTCCTGAAAGATGAAGATATATTTATCCACTAAAGGGGGGGAACCTATGTGAGTTTTTTTTTTTTCTGTCAGCCCTGTTTTAAAATGGAACGTCTTCTATTCCTGCAAAGAGGAGGCCTGTGCCCGCTCCTTCGGGCGGTTATTGCTGCACCTCTCAGCTCAGGATTTGTTCCAACGGCCGGATAGCCAGGGAGATTCTTTGAAACCTACTTGGCAGCCAGAACAAAGGGAGCTCACAAGGCGAGGAACGTTTAAAACAAAACGAAACAAACAAACAAAAAAACCCACCCTGTGGCTCGGAAAGTAAAAGCAAGCTGAAAACACGCTCTTTAGAATATTGGAATTCGCTCTTTTCCCGATTTCGGTAACTTAAAGGGTAAACCGTCCTCTCCGAAGGCTGGCTTGTGGCTGCCTTGTTGGAGGGACGCCAAGGGAGAACATTTTGGGGCCAAACGTGGAAGTCTGACATGTCAGGCAAGATGTCATAAAGAACCCTTCACTTTTAGTAATTTAAAGTCAGTACCCAGCCACCAGGGCCGGCCACCTCCCCTGGTTTATTTCCAGCTGGTATTTGCTGGGCGTGGGTGCCCTTAGACATTAAAAGAGCCAGAGGGGTTGCCCGGCCGGCGTGGCTCAGTGGTTGAGCGTCGACCTAGGAACCAGGAGGTCACGGTTCGAGTCCCGGTCAGGGCACATGCCTGGGTTGCAAGCTCCATCCCCAGTGAGGGGCATGCAGGAGGCAGCCGATCCGTGATTCTCTCTCATCATGGATGTTTCTCTCTTTCTCTCTCTCCCTTCCTCTCTGAAATCAATAAACATATATTTTAAAAAAATAGGGACAGTAATTCATTTAACACACATGTTGAGTGTCCTTTGTGGGCCAAACAGTTCAGGGCACGGAGGCCCCAGCCAGGGAGCAATTAGACAAAAGACCCCGCCGACCATCTGGGAGTTCACCTCGTGGAGTGAGACAGGGTTCCCGGCCCCCTCCCCCCCAAAATACCATTCGGAAGAGCCATCCCACCCGCCCCCGGGCTCTGAAATGTCACCAAATTGGAAATGTGACGGTATCTCCATTCCTACCTGGGTGTGACGATGGTGTTTTGGTTTCCAGGGAGAAGAGAATGGCTTTGCAGACAGTCCCGGAGACCCCCTCGCAGGTAAACGTGTTGAGGACTAACCCCCCCACACACTAACATGTGAAATGTCAGCTGACGTGAACGCGCATCCAGTAAGTGGTGTAGGACCACCCTTCACCCTGCAGGGACTCTTGTGAGTTAAGGTCCCTGTTAATGGATAGATTGACTTCAACCACGTTGCAGGCTGTCAGTTGTAAAAAATGTGGCCTGGGTCCAAGCGAAACGGAAGCCCTTCAGCGAGGTTGACCCTTCAAGGGACAGTAGGTGACGTTACTGAGAGCAGGCATCAGCGCCATCATCTGCCAGGCTGCCCGGTGCCGCCGCCAGCCGCTGCTGTCTCCTTAAAAGGGTGTTTTAGAGAGAAAATGAAGTCAGCTGGTCTTTCCTGTTGGTGGAGCTCAAATGCCCACCCAAAGCCCTTGGGTCAGCTTCTGAGTCGGTGAAAAATAATTCTTCATTTTCCAGCTCCTACCATTTAGTGACCTCTGACGAATACTGTGTGTGTGTGGGGGTGTGTGTGTGGGGGTGTGCACCCCAATGACTTATCAAAGCCATCACCTGGCCTTTTACATTCATTTCCAACCACACTGGCAACCACACAGAAAGAAAGAGGTGAATTTACAGCCCGAATCCACGTCACTGCAGGCGTGTTCGACTCTCCTGGAGCAGGCTCCAGATCTGATCATTCATAGACACCTGGCATAGAGTTCATGTCAGGCCCCCAAGAGTTTGCTGTTTGCAAAGGTGCCGCTCTGAAATGCTTACTGGTTAACTGTCTGAACAAACTTGAGGCCTCGTGACCCCGGGGGACATTCTAGCTAAGGATCTGAGAGCTCCCAGGGGTACCAAGCCCGTGGGAGTAGCGCTGGAAAAACGCAGCGTGCAAGATCGGACGGCACCTCCCCTGCAGGGAGCCCCATTAAGTCTCTCTCTGATCCCCTGCCAGCACCCCCCCGGGAGCCGTTCTCTGGGCTCCGCTAATCAACCTTTGTGAATTCCGAATCCTGTCCCAGCTCACAGTGAGCCGTTCACTGACTGGCCGTGGATGACCTGCCAGCCCCAACCTTCACAGTGAGACGCCCACCCCTGGACGGGACCTGCTTCTTACGGTGGTTTTCATGACCGACACACACCTTGTCAGAGAGCCTGCTTCATGCCTGAACTCTTCTCTAATTTTTTTTTAAATACATTTTTCTTGATTTCAGAGAGGAAGGGGAGAAAGAGAGAGAGACACATCAATGATGCGAGAGAATCATGGGCCGGCTGCCTCCTGCACGCCCCACACTGGGGATCGACCCCGCAACCCAGGCCTGTGCCCTGACCGGGAATCGAACCGTGACCTCCTGGTTCATAGGTTGATGCTCAACCTCTGAGGCCCGCCAGACAGGCCCAGGCCCTTTCTTTCCATCTGAACTGTCCGTGTACTGTCCTGTGTACACTCACATAGGTCGGACTCTTGATGGCCACAGACAGGCTGCTGTGCCGGAAGCAGTAAGATCTGGTCCACAAAGCCCGTTCCCCTTTCTTGCAGAATGAGAGCTCCGGGGGGGAGAGCATCGTGGGCAGGTCTCCGGTCCATCGGGTCAGACCGCGGGCCCGCAGCAAACCAGCCCCGGCTTGTCCGCATCCCAACCCCGATCCTCTGCACGTTACCCATCAGCCTTGGCAGCTTTTCGTGCCAAGCACAGCCTGCCAGGGGGTGAAGGATTGCACAATTCTTTAAAGGCCTTTACACACACCCCGAAAACTGGAATATCCACTCCAGGCACAGGGTTGAAAACGAGCGGTAGCTGATAATGCCAGAAAGCTTATTTTTAAAAAATTTATGGCCACCTTATAATGTCTTTGTCTTTATCTGTGTTTTCTTCACCCACAGGGCTGCCTCTGAAGTGGCGCCAACATCCCGAGGGGTGTGCAGGGGGTGGACGAGCCAGGGCTGAGCTGAGCAGAACCCAGCCCAGCCAAGAGGGTGGGCAGTGTCCCCACTGGGTGCCTACAACATGCCCGGGTTGTGGGCTCCATCCCCAGTAGGGGGCGTGCAGGAGGCAGCCAATCAATGATTCTCTCCCTCTCCCTTCCTCTCTGAAATTAATACAAATATAGAAAAGAAAAACGGGCCTGGCTGGCATGGCTCAGTGGTTGGACATCGACCTAGGAACCAGGAGGTCATGGTTCAATTCCTGGTCAGGGCACATGTCTGGGTTGCGGGTTCAATCCCCAGTAGGGGGCATGCAGGAGGCAGCTGATCCATGATTCTCTTTCATCACTGAAGTTTCTCTCTCCCTCTCTCCCTTCCTCTCTGAAATCAATGAAAATATATCTTAAAAAAAAAAAAAAGGGAGCCCTCACCGGTTTGGCTCAGTGGATAGAGCATCCGCCTGCGGACTGAAGGGTCCCAGGTTCGATTCCGGTCAAGGGCATGTACCTTGGCTGCGGGCACATCCCCAGTAGGGAGTGTGCGGGAGGCAGCTGATCGATGTTTCTCGCCCATCGATGTTTCTAACTCTCTATCCCTCTCCCTTCCTCTCTGTAAAAAAAAATCAATAAAATATATTTAAAATAAATAATAAAAATAAAATTAAAAAGTTAAAAAAAAGGAAGGAAGGGCCTAGAGGCCCGAGGTGTCCCGGCCCCCGGCTGACCTGCGCTGTCCTGTTTGTCCCGCAGACGTAAGCAAGGTCGTCAGCAAGGCTGAGTCCTGCCGGGAGGACTGCACCTGCTCCGCCTGCTCGCTCCGGGCCCCCACCATCAGTGACCTGCTCAACGACCAGGACTTGCTGGACGTGATCAGGATCAAGCTGGACCCCTGGCACCCCACCATCAAGAACTGGAAGAATTTTGCCAGCAGGTGGGGCATGCGCCATGACGAGCTGAACTTCCTGGAGCAGCGGCCCCAGAGCCCCACCCTGGAGTTCCTGCTCCGCAACAGCCAGCGGCCGGTGGGCCAGCTCGTGGAGCTCTGCCAGCACTACCACCGCGCCGACGTGGAGCGCGTGCTGCGCAGGTGGGTGGACGAGGAGTGGCCCAAGAGGGCACGCGGAGACCACCCCAGGAACGTCTAGGCCTCCACTCCTCGCCTTGGCCAATTTGGACCTTGAAACAGCCCCAGACCAGGGAGCAATGTGAATCTGTTCCTTTTTATTTTTTTAAATAATATATTTTTATTGATTTCAGAGAGGAAAGGAGAGGGAGAGAAAAATATCCATGATGAGAGAGGATCACGGATCGGCTGCCTCCTGCACGCCCCCTACTGGGGATGGAGCCCGCAACCCAGGCGTGTGCCCTGACCGGGAATCGAACCCTGACCTCCTGGTTCATAGGTGGACGCTCAACCACTGAGCCACACCGGCCGGGCTGTGTTGCTCACTTTGGAGCCGTTCACTCGTTTCTCGAGTCAGATTCCCTCTGTGTGCCCCCGGCCTTCTCTCTCCCAGCCTCAGGCCAACAGCTGCTTCCATTTTGCACCGACAGATGCAGAGTCAATGTGTGGGCTTGCCTTTCATAGTTAATCACACTTCGGTTTTCTACCCTTGTCACCGAAACTACACAATGACATGGGCCCAAAGAATTGATGAGGTCGTTCTCTTTGCTCTGTGGGGGTTCGAGCTCCCTCCAGCACCCCCCCCCCCCCCAACCCTGTGCACGCCCTATAAACGCAGGGAGGCAGGTCTCTCTCCCCTTGTGTTTAGAGAGCATCCAGGCGGAGATGCTCAGCCACAGGCTGGATCTGCAGGAGCTCCAGGTGAGTGGGTGCCACACCTGGTGGTACCACTAGGGGGAGCCCCTAGAGGGACTCACCGCTAAATGAAGACAGCCTAAATGCCTCCCAGAAATCAACCCTTTATTTGCATTAAGGGGCAGCCTGACAGGACTGCTTTTGGAAATGGAGAAGGGGGTGGCTTCCCACGGCTCCCTAAGCCGAGCCATGTTCTTCTGTTGTCTGTGACACCCGGTGACCATCTTCCTGGGAGGCCTCCTGGGTGACGCGTCTTCCGCCATCACAGGCAATGCTTTGAAACGACTGGATTTTGGTGAGACTCTGTGTTGATCTATCTGAAGGGTGTACTTGTGAAGCCGCCTTCCTTTTGGTCTCCTGTTTCAACACGCGTTTATATGTTTCTTAGAAATAAAGATTATTTTTACCTAGATTATAATGGGTGCTACAAAATTAAAGGTGGATGCCAACCACTATCTGTAATGGGTGCTTTTATGTGGCTTCCAACATCGTCGTCGCTTCTGTGGGTCCGTCAGAAGGCTAGTGAGTGTCTGAAATGTGTCCTGGACACTAAGGGTGCAAAGATAAGCAACACTTTCCATCGATTGCCCTGGTCAGTTGGGCTCTGTGCATAGAGCGTCCGTGCCTGGACCGAAGGGTCTGGAGTTTGATTCCGGTCAAGGGCACATACCTCGGTGGCAGGCTAGACCCGGCCCTGGTCTGGGGTTCGTGGGGGAGGCAACCAATCGATGTGTCTCTCTCACATCGATGTTTCTGTCTCCCCTCCTCCCTTCCACTCTCTGAAAATCAATGTCCTGTGGTGAGGACAATAGGACAGAATGAGCCACTGGGATGAATTAATTTAATTTGCATGCTGGAGATCTCTCCCATCTCCAAGATTCTTTTATTTTATGACAAAACCACAGTTCTAGAAGCTTGATTCTCACACCCGAGAAGACTAGGTTTGGGACATGATCCTGTAGAACGTAAGAGGTAAGCCTGGTGAGTCCGAACACAGGAGGGCTAAGGCCAAAAAGAGATCGAGTACACGGGTGGTTGAGGGTACACGGGTGGTTTAATACACGGGTGGTTGAGTACACGGGTGGTTTCGTGTACTTGTGTGGTGCTGGTGTTGGATGTGGGAGAGGATCATTCACATGGGCACAGTCAGTCGTGTGCTGGGAAATGTTTAACATCTGGCTTGGGGGTGGGGTGGGGAGGGGAGGGAGCCCTGTTGTAGCAGTGGTCCATTTCCATGGTGTAAATGCCCCCATCTGGCCAACGTCAAGGTGCATCACTGGCTCTCGCGGGTGGTCTGAGGCAGCTCTAACACTCCACTGGCCCTGATTTCCAAGTAAGGTCACAAACCATTGGTGGGACTTGCAAATTCCTTAGGGGGTTATAAGCAGCATTTTTTTTTTTAATAAAAAAAAAAATAGAATGCTTCACATATAACGAGAGGATTGTTTTTGCGAAATGTCAGTTTCCATCATTTTAAATGTGTATGTAACAAGTCACAATGTAAATGCAGTCCTTCTTGTGGCTTGCTTGGAAAAACTCTAAAAGGCACCGCCGTGGTATCTTCTGTCTTTAAAAGAAACAAAAAATAAAGACAAAATAAAATAAATAAAATCTTCCCTTTGAGTCCACACTCCGTGCCTCTCCATAGCAAACCTGGGTGAACGATTTAGTCATTAGCATTTCCCCTGCTGCTTCCTCTCTCAGTTCTGAACGCAGTAGGCCGGTCACCGATGACCTCCAGGCTTCTAAGTCCGCTGCTTGCTTCTATTTTTATTACTTTTCAATCCTCACCCGAGGATATTTTCCCCATTGATGTTTAGAGGTACGTGTGCTTTTGGCCGGAATCGAACCCGGGACCCTGTGGCCCAGGCCGATGCTCTACCCCCTGAGTCCCTGGCTAGGGCCGTGGGCTCCTCCTCTGTTCCTGGCCTTCCAGCAGCATCTGTCACGATGGGCGGTGCTCTCTCTAGACTTTCCTTCTTCGCCTTCGGACACCTCTGGGCAGGTCTCCGGGGCTGCCCTCCTCCGCCTCCTGGCTCTTTCCCTGGCTTCTGTCCTGGGTCCGTGGTCCGGTAGCTGCTGTCCCCGTGACCCCATCGCGTCCAGGGCCTCCCCCCCACCGCCCACCCCCGTTTTCCTCTCTCCCGCGGCACCGAACGCTTGTCGGGAGCCTCAGGCTCTTTGCACGAATGGCTCCCGCGTTCTCCCCGCAAATCTGCATCCGCCCCCTCCTCTCACTCACCTTCACCTTCACCTTCACCTGCACCTGCACCTGCACCTGCACCTGCACCTGCACCTGCACCTGCACCTCCTCCCGAGGCTTCCGGGCAGCGACCAAAGCCGCCCCAGATGCTCCCCTTGCAACACCCCGTCTCCAGGGCGGCGTGACCCCAGACTCCGCCCCGTTCTCATCCCATCCACCCCCGGCCGCTGGGCAGAACCGGAAACAGCGGCGGACTGAGCGCCGGGGCGGCCCGTAGCCGCGGAGCCGAGCGGAACCGGAACCGACGGACCCGCGGACGCGCCCTCCGCCCGAGCGCCTCGCATCGCCGGTGAGTGGGCTGCTCAGCGGGGGGCGCCGCGGGAGGGTCCGATGGGAGGCCGTCCGGGGGGAGCCCATGGGGGTCCCGCTCCCCGCCCCTCCCGCCCCCCCCGCCCCCCCCCCGCACCCGGGGCTGCGACCTGGAGGCCCCTCCGCCGCCCTTTAAAGCCCCGGGACCGGGTGACACCGCGGCCCCGTGCGCTCGGGCCACCGGGTGACGCGGCCGCGGGGCTGGGAGCGCGACGGGGGCGCCTGCGAGGCGCGCGGGGTCGGGATCGGGATCGGGGTCGGGGTCCGGGACCGGGCGGGCGGGAGGGGGTGCCAGGTCGGGGCTCCCCCGCGGGCGGCGGCTTCCTCCGGGCTCCGGTGACCGGCGGCCGGTCAGGTGCTCCGGGCGGGTCCGGACTCCGGACACTCGAGTTTCCTTCCTCTTTTCATTCTTAAGTCTTAGCCTTCCCTCCAGCTACTCGGTGTACCCGCGGGTCCTTTTTAAAAATTGGGGTGACATCCCCGCTCTTACCACGCGCTGGAAGCCCCGGCCGCCGCGATCAGACAGGAAGAGGGACGGGCATCCACCCGGGAGAGGAGGAAGGGAAACTGTTCTTCGCAGGTGACAGGGTATCGTTCCTAGAAAGCCCAAAGCCTCCGCCAGAAAACTACGAGACTCCAATGGAGTTTGGCAGCTTAGCGGGTTACAGAATCAACACCCCAAAAGCGGTGGCTTTTTAAAAAATAAACCAAGAATGCATTCTCGGAAAGAGAAACTAAACAATCCCATTTACTATTGCAACAACAACAACAACATTAAGGAACTTAGGAATAAACTTAACCACCTAACCGGTTTGGCTCAGGGGATAGAGCGGCGGCCTGCGGACTGAAGGGTCCCGGGTTCGATTCCGGTCAAGGGCATGTACCTGGGTTGGGGGTACATCCCCAGTAGGAGGTGTGCAGGAGGCGGCTGATCGATGTTTCTCCCTCATTGATGTTTCTAACTCTCTATCCCTCTCCCTTCCTCTCTGTAAAAAATCAATAAAATATATATCTTAAAAAAAAAGAGAGAAACTAAACCATCCCATTTACTACTGCAACAACAACAACAACAAAAATTAAGGAATTTAGGAATAAACTTAACCAAGGCAGTAAAAGATCTGTACTCGGAAAACAGCAGGATGCTGAAAAAAAGAGATAGAGGAAGATAAACACTAGTGGAAGAATATACCGTGTTCATGGATTGGTAAAATTCACATCATTAAAATGCCCATACTCCCAAAGCAATCTGCAGATTCAATACAATCCCCATGAAAATACCAACAGCATATTTCACACATCTAGAACAAATCCTCCAAAAATTTATATGGGACAAAAAAAAAGAACCCCAAACGGCCGCAGCAATCCTGAGAAAGAAGAACAAAGTTGGAGGAATCACAATACCAGATCTCAAGTTACATTACAAAGCCACTGTACTCAAGACAGCCTGGTACTGGCACGAGAACAGGCCTATAGATCAATGGAACAGAACAGAGACCCCAGAAACCGACCTAAGCCATTACACTCAATATTTGACAAAGGAGGCAAGAGTATACAATGGAGTCAAGACAGTCTCTTCAGTAAATGGTGTTGGGAAAACTGGACAGACACATGCAAAAAAATGAAACTAGACCACCAACTTACCCCATACACAAGAATAACCTCAAAATGGTTAAAAAACTTAAATTAAGTCATGAAACCATAAAAATCCTAGAAGAAACCATAGGCAGCAAAATCTCAGCTATCTCTCGTAGCAATATGTTTACGGATACATCTCCTAGGGCAGTGATGGCAAACCTATGACACGCGTGTCAGAGGTGACACGCGAACTCATTTTTTTGGTTGATTTTTCTTTGTTAAATGGCATTTACATATATAAAATAAATATAAAAAATATAAGTCTGTGTTTTACTATGGTTGCAAATATCAAAAAATTTCTATATGTGACATGGCACCAGAGTTAAGTTAGGGTTTTTCAAAATGCTGGCACGCCGAGCTCAAAAGGTTCGCCATCACTGTCCTAGGGCAAAGGAAACTAAGGAGAAAATAAACAAATGGGACGACATCAAAATAAAAAGCTCCTGCACAGCAAAAGAAACCATCAACAAAATGAAAAGGGAGCCACTGTAGGGAAGGACATATTTGGCAACAATACATCTGATAAAGGGTTAACATCCAAAATATACAGGGAACTCATACAACTTGACAAAAGGAAGACAATGCCATTAAAAAATGGGCAAAGGACCTAAATAGACACTTCTCCACAGTGAACACACAGATGGCCAAGAGACATATGAAAAAATGCTCAAAGTCACTGATCATCAGAGAGGTGCAAATTAAAATGACAATGACGTATCACCTCAGACCTGGATGTCTGAGATTTTGCTGCCAATAGAAGCATACTCGGTGAGAATTGGGGTCAGATCTTTGACTACAATCGCATCCTGTTATTTGGCAAATATTAGTGACATAATTTCTAACTTACCTTTAAGAAGAATTATGATATAAAGAAAAGTGATGCATTTTTTTCCCCCTCTGTTTTGATTTTGCACAGGGCAACTGCCTCCGTTTCAGTCGAGGAAACCTTTCAATGAAACTTGCTTAAAATCTGAGCTCGCACACAGAAGAGAGACTGCAATCAACGCTGAAGTGGAAGGGAAAGATGCTGTCCTTGAACAACATACAGAATGTCATCTACAACCCGGTAACCGAGTCCTCCGCAGTCACCTTCTACCTTTGGCAGGATTGAGAGCAAACCCAGGGCTGCCGTGACTGTGTAGCTGTTGGAAAACAATGCGGGCCACTTGGAAAATGCTGGGTTTACATGTGATAAAAATGTGGTGCTTAACAATGTAGTCTTTCCGCTTCTTGTAAAAGCATATTTGTGCAAATTCTTTTCCCCAGATAATCCCCTATGTTGGGACCATCCCTGAGCAGTTGGAGCCTGGAACTTTGATTGTGATCCGTGGGCATGTTCCCGGGGACTCGGACAGGTAAGATTGTTGCATTCGATGTAGAAGAACATGAAGAAACTGCCTTCTTGTGACAATAACATACCGTGGGAGAGACATTAAGGTACTTGAGGCTGATTTTGCTTCCATCAGTATCCTGACCCAGATGCTGAGATTGGAATGAGTGACTGAAATAGACGTAATTTGGTTTTTTTATTTTATTGCTCTAAGTCTGATCTCATTGTAAAGAACTAGAGGCCTGGTGCATGGATTTGTGCACTGGTGGGGTCCCTCAGTCTTGCCTGCACCCTCCTGTAATCTAGGACCCCTTGGGGGATGTCAGACTGCTGGTTTCAGCCCAATCCCCACAGGCCAGGCTGAGGGCACCAGGCCTCTAGTATGCATATAAGATCTTTGGTTAATCTCATCCCACCCTCCCCCCGCCCCCCTTCCCTCTGAGGTTCATCAGTCTGTTCCATGTTTCCATGCCTGTGTGTTGAGCGTCTGCCCCCTGGTGGTCAGTGTGTGTCATAGATAACGGTCACTTAGGCTTTTATATATAGAGATTGGATGTATGGTTAGTGAGGGGAACTGTGGTCAGATGACAGGGACAGAGCCCAGTTGCAGGGTCACCCCCACAGCTTCTCCTAAGGCCTGTTTGGGTAGTTTTCATCGGATGCGCTGGGTACAAACTGTGGACAAGGCTGTATCTGTTAGAGTTGGGCTCAGGTCAGTGTGGCTGCCGCCCACATGACAGTGGCTTAAAGGAAAGAGTCGGGTCTGAAGGAGACAGCCCAGGTGCTTAAGGCAGTGCTGCCAAGACTTAGAGAAGCAGGGCTCCCCTCTGGCATCCGCTCTGCTGTCCCAGGTGAAGGCCCCTTTCCCATGATTCTTGGCGCTAGAACTGCAGCCTCACATCGTGCACTGGGTAGCTGGGTGGGCGCATGTGCTGTTTGTGGGGAAGGCCAGGGGATGGACTAGGGAGGCCGGAGAATAGAGGCTCCCTCTGGACAGACGGGGCCCCAGCCCCAGCACCGGGGTCCGTTACTAAGGAAGAAGCGAAGGAGGCCTGGTTAGGCCCTGTAGGTGAATGCGGAGAGGGTCCGCCATGTGTTCCTCCGCCTGGAGTCCCTGCTGCGGGCCCCCACTCCGTGCGGCCTCCCTCTCCCGGGGCTCAGGTGCCGTCTCTCCTCCCAGGTTCCAGGTGGACCTGCAGAGCGGCAGCAGCGTGAACCCGCGAGCGGACGTGGTCTTCCACTTCAACCCCCGTTTCAAAAGGACCAACTGCATCGTGTGCAACACTCTGAAAAACGAGAAATGGGGGCGGGAGGAGATCACCTACGACATGCCTTTCAGGAAGGAGAAGTCCTTCGAGATCGTGATGATGGTGCTGAAAGACAAATTCCAGGTGGCGTTGGGAGGCTAAAAGCTGGACCTCACTCCTGAGCGCGCGCAGGACGCTTTCCCAGTAGGGAGCTCGCCCTTCCGTTTCTCAAATCCAGAGTGTGGCTGGATGACTGTGCTCAGTGCAGGGGCCAGGCGGGTACCATCGGTGAGGCAGGAGCCACGCACGGCTCCTTCCTGCTCATGTTTCTTCTCGCCAGGCGGAGCTCAGTTCTGAATTGGCCCCGCCCTGTATTCTTTGTGGGTCAGTAGTTACAACCATGACCCAAGCTGGGGGACTAATGACAGGTGCGAATGTAGAAGCCAGGATCCCACTATGAAGTCGGGTCCTGCCGCAAGGGGGTTCTTTAGGGTTGTGGGATTTCAGATGCAGAGATCTCAGAATCTGGCTGCCATGAGCATCTCCTCTCGGCCTGTGGGACGGAGAACGTGGTCCCACGGCCCTCCCCCTGCTCGCCTTCACGCGCCATCGAGAGAAGACTCCCATTCCTGGTAGGGTCCTTCCTGGCCCCAGGATCCGCCCCCATCCAGGACAGCACCCCTAAGTCTCCTGAACTCCATGCACCCTCCCTCCTCTGGCCTTTGGGCCCTTGTTCCTACCGTGCTTTGGTTTCATCCTGTGTTTATTTTGCCTGCCTCTAGGGTTTTAAGCTCCCTTTGCTTAGAGACCATCTGTATTCTGCCAGTGTTTTCCCAATATTCCCGACACAGTAGCTGCACTGGGAGGGAGAGAGGGAGGGAGAAGGAGCTGCGTGCGCTGGCACCTGCTGTGTCAGGCTGAGCTGGGACCCACAGCATGGCCTCGTCCCCTCACACGGCAGCCCTGTGGGGAGAGTGTTGCCTACTTGCAAACAGCGATCCCAGAGAAGCTGGGGACTTGCCCAGGGTCATTCCTTCACCAAGTGCAGCAAAGGCAGGCTGAGCCCTGCCCCCTGCACTGTGGGCTCTCGGAGGGGGCACACTTGCAGGGTTGATCTCTCCTGGGCTCAGGCCTCCTGGGCATCCGGGGCCTCTGGATCCTGGAGGTCTCATCTATGCACAGATACGTACATGCAGACCCACGTCTGTGCACGCATGCACAACTGGTGTTCAGAGAAGGACGGACTTATGGCTTTAACGAGCTCAGGAAGCCAGGAGAAGATAAACCCTCCTGGTGGCGGGATGCCGTCAGTCAGTCTGGGCAGACACAGTGGGACCCTGTGGGAAAGGGATCACCTTAAAACTCAACCCAAGTGGCCCTAACCGGTTTGGCTCAGTGTATAGAGTGTCGGCCTGCGGACTCAAGGGTCCCAGGTTCGATTCCGGTCAAGGGCATATACCTTGGTTGCGGGCACATCCCCAGTAGGGGGTGTGCAGGAGGCCGCTGATCGATGCTTCTCTCTCATGGATGTTTCTAACTCTCTATCCCTCTCCCTTCCTCTCTGTAAAAAATCAATAAAATATATTAAAAAAAACAACTCAACCCAAGTAAACAGATTTCAGTTTGTGTAAATCTGTAAGATGAGCTTGTTAACTGTTGGTAAACCGTGTCCACCCAGGTGGCTGTCAATGGGAAACACACGCTGCTCTACGCCCACAGGATCAGCCCCGAGAAGATCGACACCCTGGGCATCTACGGCAAAGTGAGCATCCACTCGGTGGGCTTCAGCTTCAGCTCGGTGAGTGCCCTACCCCGACGCTGCCTGCCGAGATCCGTTAACGCCTGCACCCCCATGCTGTTTGCCGTCCGCAGGCCTCCAATCTAGGGCAGTTCCTACAAAAAGCCCTTTTTAGCCGCTGGGGCTGTTCCCTCGACCCAGGAATACGGGGGAGTCTCCCCGAGATGTTTCCTGGAGGTGGGCTGTCTGAGCCAAGGGGTGTCTGCATTTTATGTTGTGGTTGAAAGTGCTAACTTGCCCTCCCAAAATACTAAGGCAGAATTCTCAAGCATATTAAAAAAAATAAAATGAAGTGTATGGATTTGAGAGAGGGAGGAAGGGAGAGGGCGATAGGAACATTTATGTTGATCGATCGCTGCCTCCTGCATGCCCCCCCCCCGCCAGGAATCGAGTCCGCAACCCCTCATGTGCCCTGACCGGGAATCAGACCTACAACCTCTCGGTGCACGGGTCGCCGCTCAGCCATTGAGCCCCACTGGCCGGGCTGTAATTCTTGTTGTTATGTCAAGCAGATTGCACTTGGAATTGGATGGATGCTAAAGATCAGTCTTATCTTTTCTTTAGGATTTAAGGAGCGCCCAAGCATCCACTCTGGAAGTGGCAGTTCTAAATGGAGAAGATGTAAGTGTCAAGTCTTTGAATGAACCACCAGTTTATTTTTATTTTTTTTAAGTATATTTTATTGATTTTTTACAGAGAGGAAGGGAGAGAGATAGAGAGTTAGAAACACTGATGAGAGAGAAACATCGATCAGCTGCCTCCTGCACACTCCCTACTGGGGATGTGCCCGCAACCAAGGTACATGCCCTTGACCGGAATCGAACCTGGGACCCTTGAGTCCACAGGCGGACGCTCTATCCACTGAGCCAGACCGGTTAGGGCTGAACCACCAGTTTAAAACGGGGGCGCGGGGGGGTGTACAGGATTCCGATTGTCCTTCCAGCCTGAGGAGCCCTGACGACTCCGGACCACACCACCATGGAGCTCTTGTTGCCTGGGGACCAGCCCCAGGGCAGAGCAGGCACTGTGGTCCCTGCCAGGCTGGCTCAGGACACTAGAGAGATCCAGTTACTCCTGTTACGTACACAGCGCTGCGGTTCTTTCCTTTCAGGCGTCCTCATTCTGTCTCTCTCCCCCCGTAGGTACCCAGTGCCGGCATGTCGCAGTTTGTAAGTATCGTTGCCTGTTAGAATATGTAGAACATTCTGTAAAGCTGCCCAGTGAGCGAGTGGTGTCAGTGTTGGAAGACAGCGCCGTTCATCCCAGCCCTCACTGCGGCCCTGTCTCCCCACAGCCTAGTAATAGAGGAGACACTGATAAAATCGTACCCAGAACTGTCTGCACCAAGAACAAAGGTTCGACTGCCCATCACACTTTGACTTGCGCCAAAATACTACCTATCAACTGTTTGTCCAAGGTTTGAAGAGCCCCCAATGTTTACTCCTGTAGGACGAGTTAAGTTTTCATTTGCTGATAAATGGGGCCTCGACCCTCCGTAGAAGCCCAGAGCAGCCACCTGGCATTTCTGTGCTGTCCCTGGACACCCTCCGGCTCCAGGCCCCTACGGAGCCATTAGTGTGATCCCCTCCCTGTAGCAGGAGCAGCGCTTCCGACCCCACCCACAGGCTCTTCAGTGGGAGTGTCACTCACTCAGGACAGCAGGTCCCACTCCAGGCCATCCTTTCACGAGTGTTTGCCGTGAGCCAGGCACAGTGGTTCCTGCTGGGGACCCGTCCGGGACCAGGGCAGGCACAGGCTGTCCCTTCACGGGGTTGACAGCCACAGCCTTTGAACACGTCCGTGTTCGGGCAGTTTTCCCACATGATGGCGTCCTGCAGGCTTCCCGGTGCCGACTGTGGTCTCTTTTCAGACTCTGCCTTTCGTGGCGAGGTTGAACTCCTCCATGGGCCCTGGACGGACCGTCGTCATTAAAGGAGAAGTGAACGCGAAGGCCAAAGGGTTGGTGTCACTGAGTTAACAGTAATAGTGCAACCGCCTTCCACGTGTGACAGTGCAACCCCCTCCCATGTGACAGTGCAACCCCCTCCCACGTGTGACAGTGCAACCCCCTCCCACGTGACAGTGCAACCCTCTCCGTGTGACAGTGCAACCCCTCCCACGTGTGACAGTGCAACCCTCCCACGTGTAACAGTGCAACCCTCTCCCACGTGTGACAGTGCAACCCTCTCCCACGTGTGACAGTGCAACCCTCTCCCACGTGTGACAGTGCAACCCCCTCCCACGTGTGACAGTGCAACCCTCTCCCACGTGTGACAGTGCAACCCCCTCCCACGTGTCTCCTCTTAGCTCTCACCGCGCAGCCGTCTTGTGAGATCCCAGTAGCGCTAGGGTGCCAATCCTCGGCTGAAAGGTGCGGGTAATAAAGCAAGAGGAACTCAGGCTGCTCCCTAGTTGGTGGCAGAACCAGGACTAAATCCTAATGTTGTGGCCAGACTCAGGGTGGCCCCTCCTTCCCTGGCAGAATCCAGGGCAGCCCTGTGAGGTCCTGTAGCTCTTGTTATGTAACCTGTAGAACGTCTGCTTTATGGACCTTTTCCAGAGATATTTGGATTCTGAAAGCTTGAAATGAGGCATTTCCTGGACAGAAGTTCACTTCCAAGAACAGCACACACAGACATGAGAATCCCTTGACAGGACCCTGCCCCCGCCCCCCGCAGCTGAAGAAATCACTTAGCTTATTCTTCTAAATCCTCAGCTTCCTCCTAACCGGATCCATACCCTCAACATGGATTTTAAAGTTTTTTTTCCATCTTCATTTTACAAATAACATATCTATAGAATGCTAACTTGGAATGTAAAGTTTCATTTCACCGTTGGTGTTCCTATGCCCATATGCATACTTATATTTTGTGTAGTTATAATCAGAGTTCAGTTCTGCTTGTTAAATTTCAGAAAGTGCGCTACTCTCTTCTAGTTGACTAAATTTTATTTATTTTTTGTCTTAAAAGCTTTAATGTTGATCTGATATCAGGAAAATCAAAGGATATTGCTCTCCACTTGAACCCGCGCCTGAATAGTAAAGCATTTATAAGGAATTCTTTCCTTCAAGAGTCTTGGGGAGAAGAAGAGAGAAATATTACCTGTTTCCCATTTAGTCCTGGGATGTACTTTGAGGTAAGATCATATTTGAAAACGGGATAGGGCAAAGGATCCTGGGAGCAGGGGTCAGACAGACGGTCCGTGCAGATCAAGCCCTACTGTGCACCTGTGTGTGTGTGTTTTATTTTGAGATCGTATTTTCAATGTCCTATTCATAACATAGTCAGTGCAAATGGCAAACCCAGTAGAATGGAATTATTAGACATTGGTTGTCATGTCAAAAATTGGATAGCCCCGTTAGTTAATAGCAGTTTTAGCAGGAACCTTGTCTCAGTCCTGGGGTGATATTTTTAATGCCCGTGGATATGGAGACAAGGGGGCCATGAAACTGCCTGCACTGCCATCATCCCCGTTGGTCACACACAGCTTTGGGTGGCAGCCCTTTCTTCCAGGAAGCGAGTCTTGTTTGTACAAGAAACTCAGATTTTTAAACCAAGGGGAAGCACTAACGTTGCCCGTCCTTTCCTTCCAGATGATAATTTACTGTGATGTTAAGGAGTTCAAGGTTGCGGTGAATGGCGTCCACAGCCTGGAGTACAAGCACAGGTTTAAAGAGCTCCCCAGCATCGACACCCTGGAGATCGACGGAGACATACAGCTGCTGGAAGTAAGGAGCTGGTAGCTGACACGACCACCACGAAAACTGAAATACAGAATGGCTTACGTGACACTGGCCTGGTTAAAATGCATCTCACGACCATACTACCTGTGTATATAGTTAAGATGAGCTTCCGCAGCGTTAGTCCTCCTGGGGTCCTCAGACCTGTCATGCAGGAGGCTCTGTCTAGCGCAGGAGGAGGAAGTTGGAGGCAGCAGCAGCTTATGCATTATTCAGGCCTCCTCCTCTCTCCCCACCCGCCTCGTGTTTATAACCCGCTTCACAGTCACCAGGCACTGGTGAGGTGCCTGCTCTATACAGCAGCAAACATGCATCGAGCACTGCCTTCGCTAGCACTGTGCTGGGTTGGATGTACAGTGGTGTCCAAAACCATGTTCCTTATTCTCTTCTGTGTCTGCCCTTGTGCCACTGCAGGTTAGATACACTCACCAGGGCCTTGGAATGACTCAGCTATTAAATCACCTAAGTCATTAATTATAGAAGGCACCACTACAGCCCCAGGGACCGAATTCTTAAGGAGCCTTCTCTCATCCCCGCAGCCGAGGAGTTGATAGCGACTTATATCTGGCAGTTCCCTTTAATATAATAAGCATCCAACTGTAAGCACCACCAAATCATTAACACCATGACATGAACACGGCACAGAGATTAAGGCAACAAAACGAAGCAAAAGCAACACAAACAAATGGTGTTGAAATTCACTTGATGTCAATCACAATACTTTTGTACCAGTAAGTGGTTATTGTAGAATATATATATTTTTTTTATGACTTTAGGGTGAGTTAAAGGTCTGCACATACCTGTACAGAGGGTTTAAGGTAGAAGCGAGAGGAATTCAATTTGCAAATGTTTATGGGTCACAAAGCAAAGTTAAGAACTGATTGAATGTTTATGAAACAGGCCCTACCAGAAAGTGAAATAGACCAACGTAGAGAGGCAACAGAAACACCTGTTGGTTGTCTGCATGCAAAGCGACAGCGCCTCTCTGCTTTTCCAAAGATTAGTCCATCACTAGGCTGAGATCAAACATTGTTCTATCTGAGTGATTAAATCAAACCTGTATCAGCAAGTTACGTGTTGCATTTCTGTAATTTTTCCTATGACTCTTTGAAACGAGTTGGCAGAATTCTTTGCAGAATTCTTACATGTCAGATCTTGTTTCAGGAAATTTAAGAGGCTTGGGAGTGGGGAGGTAAAAAGCTACACCAGCCAGTTCATTTGTCTTATTAAATTGCTGAGCTGGATTCTGCCAGGATTTAGGAGTATTTTCATAACAGATATTCGTTATTTTTTAATACCAATATACTAAAAAGAATACTATTACCAATATATATACATATATATATAAAGTACCCGCTCAGTGTAGAAACTTCTAGCATTCTTTCCCTGTTAGTTTATTATGCCGAATCTTGCCAAACTCAAAAAACATTGATGGGGGCGGGAGGGCAAGAAGACTCTAGAATCCCAGGGTTATTTTTTTTCTTCCTGAAAGACTGCATGACTGAGATTTTCCTCTAAGTCCAAGGACTGAATACAAAATCTTAAGATGTTTTCGAAGTGAAGCTATTAGCATTTATGACTGAATCTTACTAAGACTTTGCTTGAAGAAAATATATGTATCTCTAAACGGCATGTCAGCTTTTTGCTTCTTTGTCACGACTGTCACTGTGACATCATAAGGATTAGAGAACTTCAAAAAAATCTGATTCTTTCTCATACAAGTGACTCTTGGTTACCACCAGTGGGAAAGTCCTCCTCCTACTCCTGGGGCGGGGGGAGGAAGGGGGAGAGGTGGAGGAGCTTCTGGTTGGTGCATCTGTCAGGTGTAGCTGTTTCAGAAACAGCCTGTAGCCTCCACTCCCTCCGCCCGCTCGAAAGGCCGAAAGATAAAGGAGATAATCATTGTCCTGAGTGAAAAATACATTCCAGAACTACTGCCCCCTATGGGCACACAAAAAAATGAAGGCTCAGTGTTATCTACCCAAAATGAAAGTAAAAGTCCAAATGGCTTCACACAGTCAAAAGCATTCTTGCTGAAAGCTGAATAACTCACTTTCTTCAAGTGAAGAAAATGTGTTGCTTTGAGTGAATCTGACCTGGCTACCAGGTGCATAAGACATTGCTTTACCGAAGAGCTAAGGGTTGCACCTGCAGTCCAGTGGGTACGGTCAGCTGGGGTGCGAGGATGAGACCTGCTGTACCAGCACAGTCAGGAAGGACTAATAAACGTGGAAACAACGCAGCCGCCTGTATCAAACCACCACGTGTCATTTACTCTTTGCAATTCTGTACAGATGGCAGGAGGGGTTGGATGGAGTACAAACCAGAGAGGAATCTTGTCAAGTCCACGTTGGTGTGAAGGCACCAAAACGAACATGGCACCAAACACCCCAAATAAAAATATAAAATACAAAATATAAATCCGAACTCTGAACAGAGTGCGAACCCCTCCCCCGGTTAGAAGTAGCTCTGCAGCGGCTCCCCCAGGACGGCCTCCAGCTGCTGCACTGTCCGCTGACACTGATGCTCCACCTCTTCACACTCATCTAGAAGTGAAAGGACACAGGTCAGCTTCCGGCCCCGGTTCCCACCGCCTCATCCAGGCGTCCCCCCGTCTCTGACCACCAGTCAGCAGACGGGGACGCACATCAGAGATCCTGTGCCTTCCTCCCTGCCAAGGGTTTTAGGCCTGGGAGACAGAACCCAACAGAGGCCCCACAAGAAAATTCCCCAATTCCTGGTGGTGCTGCGCTCAGGGCCATAAGAACCAGGTGCATGGCCTTTGTGGAGATGAGCTGTGGATCATGAACGTGAAAGCGTGGCCACCCTGCCTCCACCCCCTGCTTAGGGGGAAGCCCCACTGTCACTCCTTGGGCTGTGCTGTGCCTGGTGCTTCCTGGGCCCCGTGTCCACACGCACACACCTGCCTCCCTCCCCAGCTCCACTGTCACACGTGCTTTGTTAGTTCATCAAGTTACTTAATCCCTAAAGCCTCTAGTTCTTTGTGAAACGAGCACTGTAACAGCATCTACGTCCTGAGGATAATGAGGACCATGCCCAGCACGGAGTGGACGCTGGTCGCTGTGAACAGGAAGCTGTCCTAGGCTGCCGCAATGCCCTAGACATCGTGCTACAATAGACTACGTCTGTAGCCAAAATACACGTGTGAGGGAAAGGCAAAGGAAAGGCCTTCTCCTAATCTCTTCCCGCCACCCCACTCAAAACAGGAACCTGGCCTCCCAGGTCCCCAGTCGAGCCAAGGCTATCCCACTGCACCCACATTTGCTTTTTCATTGGAAATTACCTTCCATCAATTCAGCTAGGAAAGGAATGGACTCTGGTAGCAAGACGATGTAATTCTCCTTCAGTGTCTCCGCCAGTGCGAGCACGGTAATGAGGGCAGCAAATCGAACCTGAAGGGAACCAAAAGCAAAGGTTGGTAAAAACTAGTATCTTAAAAACAAAATGTTCTTTAATATGAGTTTATTTCACTTTATGTCCATTCAGCTTTCACCTAGGATGCCAGGTTACTGAACAGTTTGGGATGTTTGTCATACAGGCAACCTGAACTGTGTTCCACACTCTGACCCCCATGTCAGTGGGTGTCACTAGCTGCTACACCTACCTTCCATTTCCCACAGACCCCTTGGCCCGAGATACACTCTCACCCAAAGGGAAGTCTGTGGACAAGCTCAGAGCATTGGTCTCTGGAAACAGAGACACTTAAGAGGTGTTTAAATTAAAAAGCACAAGGAATCACTTCATGTCTTCTCAAGTTTTAAAAGTGCAGAAGTATTAAAAGTATTTGAGCCGAAACCAGTTTGGTTCAGTGGATAGAGTGTTGGCCTGCGGACTGAAGGGTCCCAGGTTCGATTCCGGTCAAGGGCATGTACCTGGGTTGCGGGCACATCCCCAGGGGGAGATGTGCAGGAGGCAGCTGATCGATGTTTCTAACTATCTCTCTCCCTTCCTCTCTGTAAAAAATCAATAAAATATGTTAAAAAAATTTTTATTAAAAAAAAAAAGTATTTGAGTGTTCGTGCCACACACACACTATAGGGGCTGGGGAGGACTGCTATTATTTATAAATAACCTGGAAGTAAAACCCAAAAACACAGGCACAAACTTGTGTCCGGCACAGCCTGCCTGCTGGTGCTAGAGGATGAGCAGCCATGTTCGTCCCGCTAGTTACCACAGTTGCACAGCCGTGACTGCGCGATAGCTGTTTGGGCTACATGGCGAGAACACAGGGCACAGTGCTGGCACCAGGGCTGCCACCGCGGCTCCTGACCTTGGGCGAGGAGTCTCTCGTCTTCAGCAGGACCTGGTAGTTCAGGGGCTTCCAGAGGGAGTCGTCGGCCATGGCCACCGAGAACTGGGCGATGCAGGGGACCAGGTGCCGCGTCACCCGCTCCTGGAACCTCTCTTCTCCTCCCAGCCGGTTCTCCAGCTGAGGAGAGAAAAGGACTGTGAGCGCCAGGGCTCAGTCTGTCTGTGAAAATACCCAACGTATAAATAATATTCGACTGTCCTCATGACGGGCTCAACACCAGGTGCTGTTACAAATTAAAAACTTAACCATTAGACCAGCGGTCGCCAACCTTTTGGACCTCACGGAACACCAGTGGTCCGCGGACCACCGGTTGGCGACTGCTGCATTAGACCTTATATTGTGCCTTTCGTGTGAAAAATTCAAAAGCAGAGCTCAGTAAAACCACCAATGAAGGTAAGTTAAATCCACAAAAAGTGAGAAGTTAAAAGATGGTCTGACTGGGTTACCTGGTCCACCAGAGGCATCATCAGGGCTTCTGCTCTCTCCTTACTTAGAAAGTGCTGGGTGTCAAACAGGAAGATTTTATGTAAACAGTTCAAGATAAACTGTAAGAGCAAGCAGCACTTTTCAGGGTCATTTTCAGAGTCAAAAAACGCTTCATCTGTAAGAGGGGGAAGAGTAAAAATGAAAACAAGGTCACAATTGAATCTCCAACGTTTACATTCAAATCACTATTGACAGAACTACAATCAAGAGGGCATTTCCTCCTCCATCTAGAAAGCAAGCTCAGGATGAGGGTGGCACCGTGGGTGGGCTCTCGGGTAAGTGATTCCTCCTTCAGTTAACTCATGGCCCCTTTCATGACGCGAAAGCAGACACTTCAGGGCCTGACCACCGACTACAGCATGAAACACCCACCCTTTAGACTTCCTGTACTTCCCGAGCTTGTGCAAGGCACACAGAGCAAGGTGTCAACGAGCTGGAGTCAGCTACCAACCTGTTTTGGAGATGTTCACCTGGTTCAAGGTGTCAGCAAAAGGCTTCACCAAGTGGCCGGCGAACAGAGTAAACAGCCCTTTCAGTTTTGCGGCAATGCAATCTGCCAAGTGGTAAAACGTCAATAGTCTGTCCTTTGGGGCGTCCTCCGTCTTGGCCCAATCAAACAGCTAAAAAGAGAGAGAAGTAGGAGTTTATTCTACACATCTTGTTACTGAGAGGAGCACAAAGCAGACAGGGCAGAAGCAAGCTCACCTTGAAAAACAGAGGTCTGAATGTGACTTCGGAAAGTTTGACAACCATAGCTACCAGGCAGTCGATGATATGGTTTTCTGTCTTTCCAACTTCTTCCAGATCATTCTGAAAACAAAAGAGCTGTTTTATTAGGAAGAGTTCTGACATCCAGCTTTACATACTTCTGGCCAGTAGAACAGGTCACAGCCAGCTTTGGGCTGGCTCTCAGCAGGTGAGTTCAGGATTGGGGGGGTGGCTCTAAGCTGACCTCAGGGTGCTGTGCTCGGAAGTCCAGGGCCTCCAGGAAAAACGTGGTGAGCTGAGACTGATGGGAGGTGAGCTCTTCCTTCTTCATGACCCCGATGTGCTCTTGCAAGATGCTCATAAACGGGCCCATGTGGTTCTACCAAGAACACAGCAGAGAGAGGGGCCAGTTCTTCACACTCCAAGTTCATTATGAAGGGGAACCTGTCAGCACCGCACCTCCCCACCCCAAAGTCCAACCCCAACAGATCTCACCCTCCAGTCCTTCTGGGTGTGCTTGTAGGTTTTGTTGATGGCCGGCA